ACATGGGTAGGATGCTTCATGTATACTATTAACCCTCTGGTACCTCCATCTCCACAGTACATCTGATACAACATATTGAAGGGGATATAGAATCATCAGAAACAAAGCAGGTTTTTTTATAAAAACAATATAATTAAGGCTCGGTTCACAATGCTGCGTCTTGGATTCCGACTTGTGAGACCCCAAGTCGCATGACATGTGAAATCCCATGTTTGTCAATGAGAGCCGTCTTAATTAGCACTACTGAAATCGCTCCGACTTTAGAAAAGGTTCCTGTACTACTTCAAGGCGACTTCTATTCGACTAGTGCCCATAGACTTTAATGGAAGATGGATCCTTGTAACGGAACCGGACCCAGACTGCACTGGGATATTTCCGTTAGCCTCCCGCATCCCTGTCAGAACACAGATCCCCGGACACCACCGCTGACCAAACAGGACGAGACAGCACCAGACTTGTATGAAAGACAGGAAATAGACTGCTTTATTTTAACATAGATACAAGATATATACACAGGGTGGGGAAATACACCCAGACAGAAAACAGATCAACAGGTTGTCCCATCAGGGGGAAGGGCTGCCGGAAATATTACATCCCATCCCAAGCAAGACACACAATAGAACAATGGGATGCATGTGCAAAAACACAGAAAGCACCGCAAAAAGAACTCCCAGAAATGAATCAAACGCAAACTGTATAGGTGTGAACCAGGCCTAAGAAAGGAAAATGGCTCTAGTGCAACAGCTAAAGGAATTTTATTAACCCCTTCACACTGGCGCCTGCCGGCCCTTTAAGAGTTTCAGAAGCAGGGAGGCGGGATGGGCAGGGCGGGGTTTAAGGGTCATGTGACACATCGTCACGGCGGTCACACGATCGGGAAGGGTCCTGATCGAAAGAGGAGTTCGGTACCTTTCCGTGAATATCGGACATGTGTGCTGGGAGCACTCTCTGCACATAAGTCCTTTTTTAATAGAACGCAAATGTGCGGCCGCTCGACGTTTAGGCCCAGACAACGGGAGGCTGCGCATTTGTGTTCATGAACAGGTTAAGAGACAGATTAACCACTTGCCCTCCACAGGATTTACCCCCCTTCCTGATCAGGCCATTTTTTGAGTTACAGCTCTGCGTTACTTTAACTGACAATTGTGCGGTCATGCAACACTCCACCCAAATGGAAATTAACGTCCTTTTTTTCCCACAAATAGAGCTTTCTTTTAGTGGTATTTTATCGCCTCTACATTTTTATTTTTTTGCGCTATAAAAAAAAATGACTGACAATTTTGAGAAAAAAACTATATTTTTTAATTTTTGCTATTAAACATGTCCAGTAAAATAAATTTTAAAAATCAAATTTTGTCATAAATTTAGACCAAAATGTATTCTGCTCCATGTCTTTGCTAAAAAAAATCCCAATACGTGTAAATGAATTGGTTTACGTGAAAGTTATAGCATTTACAAATGGCAGTATATATATATTTTTTTAATTTTTACTAGTAATGGTGGCAATCAGTGACTTCTAGAGTGACCGCGGTGGGCATTCTGACACTGGGGGGGAACTGACTTGGTTACTTCACATCCTCAGTGACACCAATACAGTGATCAGTGCTAATAAAAAGCACTGACACTGTACTAAAGGCACTGGGCAGGAGGGGGCTAACATCTGGGGCAATCAAAGGGTTAACTGTGTGCTGGGAGCGTATTACTAGGGGGCTGTGTCTGTGTGCTTCACTGTAAGCACACTGATTTGCATGGCTGTGCACAGCCATTTTAAGCAGTGTGCATGAGCTGACAGGGAGGAGAACCGTATTGTTTACATACAGCTCTTCCCCCTCTGCAATCACCGGGCACCGGCAAGTAATCACCGGCTGGAACCCAGTGATTAACAGTCGCGAAGGCGAATGGCGGCGCAGGTAGGGCACGATCCCTACCCAGAAATGCAAAATCATGTATATACAGGTGAAACTCCAAAAATTAGAATATGGTGCAAAAGTTCATTTATTTCAGTGCAGCAACTTAAAAGGTGAAACTAATATATGAGATAAACTCATTACATGCAAAGCAAGATAGTTCAAGCCGTGATTTGTCATCATTGTGATGATTATGGCTTACAGCTCATGAAAACCCCAAATCCACAATCTCAGAAAATGAGAATATTGTGAAAAGGTGCAATATTCTCGGCTCAAAGTGTCCCACTCTAATCAGATAATTAAGCCATAACACCTGCAAAGGGTTCCTGAGCCTTTAAATGGTCTCCCAGTCCGGTTCAGTAGGAACCACAATCATGGGAAAGACTGCTGACCTGACACCATCATTGACACCCTCCATAAGGAGGGAAAGCCTCAAAAGGGAATTGCAAAAGAAGTTGGATGTTCCCAAAGTGCTGTATCAAAGCACATTAATAGAAAGTTATGTGGAAGGGAAAAGTGTGGAAGAAAAAGGTGCACAAGCAGCAGGGATGATCGCAGCCTGGAGAGCATTGTCAGGAAAAGGCTATTCAAAAGTGTTGGGACTTTCACAAGAAGTGGACTGAGGCTGGAGTCAGTGCATCAAGAGCCACCACACACAGACGAATCCTGGACATGGGCTTCAAATGTCATATTCCTCTTGTCAAGCCGCTCCTGAACAACAACATCAGAAGCGTCTTAACTGGGCTAAAGAAAAACAGACCTGGTCTGTTGCTCAGTGGTCCAAAGTCCTTTTTTCTGATGAGAGCAAGTTTTGCATCTCATTTGGAAACCAAGGACCCTGAGTATGGAGGAAGAATGGAGAGGCACAAGGACCCCGAGTATGGAGGATGAATGGAGAGGCCCAAGGACCCCGAGTATGGAGGAAGAATGGAGAGGCCCAAGGACCCTGAGTATGGAGGAAGAATGGAGAGGCCCAAGGACCCCGAGTATGGAGGAAGAATGGAGAGGCCCAAGGACCCTGAGTATGGAGGAAGAATGGAGAGGCCCAAGGACCCTGAGTATGGAGGAAGAATGGAGAGGCACAAGGACCCCGAGTATGGAGGAAGAATGGAGAGGCCCAAGGACCCCGATTATGGAGGAAGAATGGAGAGGCACACACTGCAAGATGCTTGAAGTCCAGTGTGAAGTTTGCACAGTCTGTGTTGATTTGGGGAGCCATGTCATCTGCTGGTGTTGGTTCACTGTGCTTCATTAAGTCCAGGGTCAACGCAGTCGTCTACCAGGAGATTTTGGAGCACTTCATGCTTCCTTCCGCAGACGAGCTTTATGGGGATGCTGACTTCATTTTCCAGCAGGACTTGGCACCGCCCACACTGCCAAAAGCACCAAAACCAGGTTCAATGACCGTGGGATTACTGTGCTTGATTGGCCAGCAAACTCACCTGACCTGAACCCCATAGAGAATCTATGGGGCATTGCCAAGAGAAAGATGAGAGACATGAGACCGAACAATGCAGAAGAGCTGAAGGCCGCTATTGAAGCATCCTGGTCTTCCATAACACCTCAGCAGTGTCACAGGCTGATAGCTTCCATGCCACGCCGCATTGAGGCAGTAATTGCTGCAAAAGGGGCCCAAACTAAGTACTGAGTACATATGCATGCTTCTACTTTTCAGAGGTCCGATATTGTTCTATGTACAATCCGTGTTTTATTGATTGCATGGAATATTCTCATTTTCTGAGATTGTGGATTTGGGGTTTTCATGAGCTGTAAGCCATAATCATCACAATGATGACAAATCACGGCTTGAACTATCTTGCTTTGCATGTAATGAGTCTATCTCATATATTAGTTTCACCTTTTAAGTTGCTGCACTGAAATAAATGAACTTTTGCACCATATTCTAATTTTTCAAGTTTTACCTGTATACGTGATGATTTTGCGCACCCGTGATGCCTTGTAGCAGTATATCTGCTATAGGGCGGATGGGAAGTGTATAACGTGATACTAACATTTTGTTGCGTTTTTTTTAAAAATAATAAACATGTTATACCTACCTGCTGTGTGCAGTGGTTTAGCACAGAGCAGCCTAAATCCTCCTCTCATGTCCCCCATCAGCGCTCTTGGCTCCTCCCTTCTGTCAGGCATTCCCTGCACATGGCATGTAAGTAGCATCAAGAGGCATCAAATTATTACTGAAGTCGCATCAAGTGGACATCAAATTGCCAGGAAGTCACCTGGCAAAGCCCCCCCCCCCCCCCCAGTTGTGCGAGTTTCAGGTCAAAGTAGTGTGAACTGAGTCTAAAGGATAAGTTCACCTTCGGGGACATGTTACATGTTACAAGCAGCTTGCTATGGCAGGGCATGGGGATCTAATGTCACACGCTGAATAGCTTATATAGGAGAACTGAGTGTAATCTGAGACCTGAGTGGATGGAAGGTAACCCCCCCCCCACACACATAGTGTAGGGAATCTTACAGTCATACACAGCTGAGGCTGTTAACCACCAGCTGTGTGCTGGAGTGGCTTACAGCCACTGTAGAGAGCTAGAAGTGGTAATTCAAGTTTCAACCCACATGATGGTGTCACAGGCCCTATACGGTTTCAAATAATTGTGCAGCCCAACTGCACTTCCTTATGGCATTATGAGGCAGGCCGATACACAAATTGCAACAAAATCCTTACCACTGAGGTTTCTAAGAAGATTTTATTGAGTTTACTATGTTTATTAAGTCTTTATTCTTTTGTTCCCTCCTTTTTCTGATTAGTATGGGGGGGGGGGGGGGGGCGGGGGTACCGTTTGTCTTTCAATATTCTATGAAGCGGTAAACAACTGCTATTTCTTTCCTGTAGTACTGTAGGTAATTTTGACATGTATTGTTTCTATTATTACATTGAATTGTTGAGAAAAATAAAAAAAAGCAAAAACAAAAAAAAAAACAGCACAAAGTGATTAGACCGAAAAGTACCCAAAGTGAAATATACATTTTGAGTTTCAGTTTTTTTCATTTGTGCTTCTTTGTTAAAGCCAAAACTTTCTTTTATTTATGGAATATTTAAAGCTCCTGTCAGTTTTTTGGCCGTCTGTATCCCACTGGGGAGATTTACTTTTGCAACCTGTCCAGTAGACGGGACAGGAAGTGAGAATATCTCCAAAGTGAGGGAAATTTCCACTTAGATAATCCTCATCGGAACAAATGTCCTCAATGAAAGATGTCCCCTCTATACCTGGTGACAACTCTAAAATTTTAGATCTTTCAAAACTTTCTGTTCCAGTGTCCGTAGTCACAAGGAGAAATGGAGAGGGTGAATCTCCCCGGGGGAGACAGAGCATGAAAAAAACTTTTGGTTTTTGATACACCTTCTTCTCCCTATCCAAGATAATAATATGTTTAGGCAACAGCTTTGACCCTTACCTACATGGTATCCCTCTTTGCTTTCTCAATTCATTGGGAGTTAAGGAAGTAGAACTGGTGCTAGAGTAGAGTAGAGCTTTTCTTACTCAAGTGAACTTGGAAATAACCTGCGTATGTGGAAAATGCTGAACATACGGGACCCCACTCGACCCCTCCAGAAGAGAAACTTCTCTGGTTCTACTCAGCGGACAGGCACTGTGCCCACAGCCTATCCTTGCTAATGTATACATTACAAATACATATACAGCCTGGCCTGTTTACAGTCAACAAACTACACTACAAACAGTCCCAGGGAATGTATAAACACCATGACTAGGGCTACCACCCACAGCCTGTTTATTTACTGAACAATCAGCCATAAGGCATCAATGGATGGGGAAGTCCAAGAGGAATCTTCCAAACACACTGTCCACCTGCATTAGTTTAAACGCAAGAGGGGAAATTCTTCCAACAGTTTCATCTATAATAATATGTGCATGTTGCTTGTTGGGTTTTTTTTCACTTGTGTCGGTATTGTTGGGGGAAGACTTTACAGAGGCTGAGCTGCCAATATGATATGATGTACGCAGTGCAAAGGTGATCAGAGCAAATGATGCACAAATGTATTATTTAGGTACTTATATAGTGCCGTCAATTTACGCCGCGCTTTACATATATATTGTACATTCACATTCACATCAGTCCCTAACCCTCAAGGGGCGTACAATCTAAGGTCCCTCAACCCTCCCTAAGGGGTGTACAATTTAAGGTCCCTAACCCTCAAGGGGCATACAATCTATGGTCCCTAACCCTCAAGGGGCGTACAATCTAAGGTCCCCAACCCTCAAGGGGCGTACAATCTAAGGTCCCTAACCCTCAAGGGGCCAATCTAAGGGGCGTACAATCAATCCCCAACCCTAAGGGGCCCTAAGGTCCCTAACCCTCAAGGGGCGTACAATCTAAGGTCCCTAACCCTCAAGGGGCATACAATCTAAGGTCCCTAACCCTCAAGGGGCATACAATCTAAGGTCCCTAACCCTCAAGGGGCATCCAATCTAAGGTCCCTAACCCTCAAGGGGCGTACAATCTAAGGTTCCTAACCCTTGAGGGGTGTACAATCTAAGGTCCCTAACCCTCAAGGGGCATACAATCTAAGGTTCCTAACTTACATTCATACATACACATACTAGGGCCAATTTAGACAGGATCCAATTAACCTACTAGCATGTCTTTGGAGTGTGGGAGCAAACCGGAGTACCCGGAGGAAACCCACACGGGCACAGGGAGAACATGCAAACTCCAGGCAGGAGGTGCCATGGCTGGGATTCGAACCAACGACCCGAATACTGCCCAGGCAGAAGTGCTAACCATTTAGCCACTGTGCTGCACAAATGAGCGAAAAGGAAAGGAGCGGAGAAGAAATGCAAGAGAGCAGGAGAGAAGGAGTGGGGAAAAAGAGTGGAGAATAGACAATAGGGGAAAAATTAGTGGAGAGAAGGGGTGAGGAAAAAGAGTGGAGAGGACAGGAGAGAAGGGGTGGGGAAAATAGTGAATAGGAGACGAGAGGAGAGTAGAGGAGAGAAGGGGTCGGGAAAAGAGTGGAGAGGAGAGGAGAGAAGGGGTGGGGAAAAGAGTGGAGAGGAGAGGACAGGAGAGAAGGGGTGGGGAAAAGAGTGGAGAGGAGAGGACAGGAGAGAAGGGGTGGGGAAAAAGAGTGGAGAGGAGAGGACAGGAGAGAAGGGGTGGGGAAAAGAGTGGATAGGAGAGGACAGGAGAGAAGGGGCGGGAAAAAGAGTGGATAGGAGAGGACAGGAGAGAAGGGGTGGGAAAAAAGAGTGGAGAGGAGAGGACAGGAGAGGAGGGGTGGGAAAAAGAGTGGAGAAAAGGGGTGGGGAAAAGAGTGGAGAGGAGGATAAGAAAGAAGGGGTGGAAAAAAAGAGTGGAGAGAAGAGAACAGGAGAGCAGGGTTGGGGAGAGGAGAGGAAATACAAATAATTTAAAGTGATTCTAAAGGCTTTTTCTTTTTAAAATAACAAACATGTCTATACTTACCTGCTGAGTGTAGTGGTTTTGCACAGAGCAGCCAGGATCCTCTCCTTCTCGGGTCCCCCACCAGCGCTCCTGGCCCCTCCCTCCTGTTGGGTGCCCCCGCAACAAGCAGCTTACTATGGGGGCACCTGATGCTCCGTGTATCCATTCACATGGAGCCGCAGCTCAACCATGCCCCCTCACTCTTCTCATTGGCTCACTGGTTGTGATTGACAGCAGTGGGAGCCAATTTCTCCCACTTCTGTCTCAGTCAATGAGGAGAAGGAGCCCCGGGAAAGCCGAGACTCCAGTGCACATCGCTGGATCGAGAAGGGGCTTAGATGAGCATTAAGAGGGCTGGGGGGATGCTACACAGAGAAAGTTTTTTACCTTCATGCACAGAATGCATTAAGGTGAAAACCTTGAGCCTTTAAAACCACTTAAAACTTCATAGAGTGATCCTCATTCATACACTTCAGGGGAACTCATCTGTTATGTCTGGAGCTATACAAAGCCCCTTTCCCTAAACATATATGTCTCATTTATGGCATATGTGTGCCATGTGTGTATGATGGAGGAGGGATACAGAATAAAGACTAATATGTGTGTGATGAAGGAGGGATACAGGATAAATTCCAATGTGTGTATAATGGAGATGGGATCAAGGGTAAAGACCAATGTGTGTGTGATGGAGGAGATATACAGGGTGAAGACCAATGTGTAGGTGATGGAGGAGGGATACAGGATAAGATTCCAATGTGTGTATAATGGAGATGGGATCAAGGGTAAAGACCAATGTGTGTGTGATGGAGGTGATATCACAGGGTGAAGACCAATGTGTGTGTAATGGAGGTAGGGATACAGGGTAAAGACCAATGTGTGTGTGATGGAGGTGGGATATACAAGGGTAAAGGCCAATGTGTGTATGGTGGAGGTGGGATACAGGGTAAAGACCAATGTGTGTGAATGGAGGTGGGATACAGGGTAAAGACCAATGTGTGTGTGATGGAGGGATCAAGGGTAAAGACCAATGTATGTGTGGTGGAGGAGGGATACAGAGTGCAGACCAATGTGTGAGTGATGGAGGTGGGATACAGGGTAAATTCCAATGTGTGTGTGGTGATGGGTACGAGGGGGGGATCAAGGGTAAAGACCAATGTGTGTGTAATGGAGGAGGGATCAAGGGTAAAGACCAATGTGTGAGTGATGGAGGTGGGTATACAAGGGTAAATACCAATGTGTGAGTGATGGTAGATACAGGGTACAGACCAATGCATGTGATGGGGAGGTGGGATCAAAGGTAAAGACCAATGTGTGTGTGATGGAGTAGGAATACAGGGTAAATACCAATGTATGAGTGACGGAGGAAGTATACAGATAAAGACCAATGTGTATCTGATGGAGGTGAGATACAGGGTAAATACCAATGTGTGAGTGATGGAGGTGGGATACAGGGTAAATACCAATGTGTGAGTGATGGAGGTAGGATACAGGGTAAATACCAATGTGTGAGTGATGGAGGTAGGATACAGGGTAAATACCAATGTGTGAGTGATGAAGGTAGGATACAGAGTAAATACCAATGTGTGAGTGATGGTATACAGAGTAAAGACCAATGCGTGTGATGGGGGAGGGTTCAAAGGTAAAGACCAATGTGTGTGTGGCGGAGGAGGGATCAAGGGTAAAGACCAATGTGTGTGTGAAGGAGGAGAAATCAAGGGTAAAGACCAATGTGTGTGTGGCAGAGGAGGGATCAAGGGTAAAGACCAATGTGTGTGTGATGAAGGTGGGATACAGGGTAAAGACCAATGTGCGAGTGATGAAGGAAGGATTCAGGGTAAAGACCAATGTATATGTCTGCTGGAGGAGGGGTAGGAGGGAAAGACCAAACCAATGTGTGTCTGTGCGGGTGGATGGAGCTCAATAGGAGGGAAAGACCAATCTGTGTGCCGGATTTGGGATGGAGAAAGAACAGGTAGAGGTTGATTTGCACAGTGACAAAGTGAAAGTACAAATTTTAGAATAAAGAATGATGAAAGAGGGGAAGTAGCTGACTGTAGGAATTTAGCATTAAGATGTCCATAGATGTCCATAGATGGGGAGACGCCTCACTAACATTAACAGGTGGTGAAGCATCCACTTGTTCTGAGCTGCATTGCTGTGCTGTTGAAATTTGCAATCATGTTCTTCTTGTACCACCGTCACAGAACAAGGGAACAAACAGCATCCACTACTACAGAGATTTTCCAGCAAGTCAATGTAACAATGAATGTGAGCTTTGAATTTTAATGGAGATCTCCAGTCAATACATAAAAACAAAGCAGTCACACAGTATAATATGGATAACCTGTTTCCTATGCGCTTGTGCCTGATATATGAAACTTGCTGCAATATTGGAAAAAGTTCCCAGAAACAATGGTCTTGTGAGCAGCAAATGAAGCAATTTTGGGACTGTGTCCTGCTTTCACGTGACTGTGCAGCAACTACTCATTAAACACAATGCAATTCAATGATGCCCTAGGAAAAATGATTGGGCGCAGACTTTCCTGCATCTCCCAGTATGAAATAAAAAATAAACAGGAGCTCATTTTATAAAAATTTTGCCTTTTGATTCAGCAGGGCATACATCTCAGGTGATTTTGCAGGTTTGGGTTTGCTCCGAGCAGCTCAACAAAACAATACAGAATTTGCAAGGCATCGAGTCACATTGATCCCCGCGTTGCATGTGTTATCATATTTATTTCCATTGTTATTGGGAGAGTGATGGAAGAGCCAGGGCTGGGCAGAATCTGAAAAATGCAGGCAAAAATACCCATCTTCATCCAGCTACCTAAGAAAATTCCCTCCTTCAGCCTCCCACTCAAAACAAAAATTTAAATTTCTTGCAGAGAATCATTAACACATTTTATTATGATAAACCAACTTGTAGAAAAATTTACCTTTGGCATTTTATTATATTATTATAATACAGAATTTATATAGTGCCAACAGTTTGTGCAGAGATTAATAAATGGAGGCAGACGGTACAGTACAATAAAATTCAATACAAGAGGAATCACAGGGCTCTGCTCTCTCAATTGGGGTCCCCCAAGGCTCTGTCCTCGGGCCCCTTCTCTTCTCCATCTATACCTCCTCCCTTGGCCAACTGATACACTCCCACAGCTTCAACTACCACCACTACGCCAATGACATACAAATCTACCTCTCCACCCCTCGCCTCACCACTTCAGTCTCCGCCCATATCACCCGCCTACTGAACGACATATCAGACTGGATGTCGCTCCACTTCCTCAAATTGAACCTTTCCAAAACCGAGCTCCTAATTTTCCCCCAATTTGAGCCCCCCCCCCACCCTCTCCATCACGACCAACAACGCCACCATCAGTCCCACCCTGCAAGCCAAAGTCCTAGGTGTCACTCTAGACTCAAATCTGTCCTTCCAACCCCATGTCCAATCGCTGGCAAACACATGCAGGCTCCATCACCGCAACATCTCCAAAATACATTCATTCATAACACTGCCCCAAACTACCTCACTGACCTGATACACAAATACCACCCAACCTGTACTCTTCGCTCCTCAAAAGACCTCCTACTTTCTAGCTCCCTGTTCTCCTCCTCCCACGCCCGACTGCAGGACTTCTCCAAGACTTCCCCCATCCTCTGGAACTCACTACCCCAATCCATCAGACTGTCACCTACCCTTCTAACCTTTAGGCGCACCCCTGAAAACCCATCTCTTTCAGGGAAGCCTACCCCACCCTCACCTAACAGCCGATCTCCTCCACTCCTCCTACCTACTACTCCATCTCCCACAGCCCCGTACTCCTGTACCACCATCCCCTCCCTCCTAGATTGTAAGCTCGAAAGAGCAGGGCCCTCGAACCCCTCGTATATTGTTTTGTTACTGTATTGTCTCATGTACTGCCCCCCACTATTTTGTACAGCGCTGAGCAAACCTTTTGGCGCAATATAAATACTATATAATAATAATAATAATTAGAGCTTACAATCTAAAAGGGAGGGTCAAACTATACAAAGATAATAACTGTGTGGAATGAGCTAAGGGATGCTGTTTATTAGTTAGAGGCAGGATAGGCCTCTCTAAACAGACGGGTTTTTAGAGAGAGAGTGGATAGAGTAGGAGATACTTGGACAGATTGGGGTAATGAGTTCCCGAGGATGGAAGAGGCTCTGGAGAAGTCCTGGGAAGTGAAGATGCGAGGAGGTGATAAGGGAGCTAAAGAGCAGGAGGTCTTGGGAGAATAAAAGCAGCAGAGCACTCCCCGACATGGAACCCTATATTCTTGTAGAAGCCTACCAGAAGTTTGACATCTCCAGAGACATACCCTACCCACTCCTGCTTCTCTATACTGGATTGCTCTGATGTTATCAGGGAGCAGGACTAGGAACAGTAAGAGCAGACTGGTGGTAGCTTGCATCTAAACTAACAGCAGCTGCATCACAAGCAGGGGCGGACTGACAACTCATGGGGCCCCCAGAAATAGGGGATCATGGGGCCCCTGTGTCCTTGACCAAACTCAAAAAAGCCTATGAAAAAGGTACCAGGGGGATCTCATGGGGCCCCCTACTGACCCCGTACCCTCGGGCAGTGCCCGAGTTTCCAAATGGTCAGTCCGCCCCTGATCACAAGTGTGACTAGAACCTTCAGGGCCCCAATGCAGGAATCCTTAAAGGGCCCTCCTGACCACCAGGGCCCTTTCTATCAGCCTTTGGGCCCTTTCCATCAGCCTTTGGGCCCTTTCTATCGGCCATTTTAAAAGTTGCTGTCTTAATCAATAAAAAAAAAAGGTTCCTGCAACTTCGGTGCAATTTGACTGCCATAGACTGCAATCACAAAAGTTGCAAGCAAGTCACAAGGAAATCTCAAGGAAGTCGCAAAGAAATAGCAAGTCACACAACTTTGGGGTCCAGCAGTGTGAAGAGAAACAAAAAAGAAAGCGCACCAACCTTGCGCATTATATCAGTAAACCATAATTTTATTGAATACAGAATGATACTCTCAATAAAATTATGGTTTACTGAGGTAATGCGCAAGGTTGGTGCTCTTTCTTTTTTGTTTCGCTTTGCAGTACTGGTCGGGCTTCCCTAGCCTTGCTTGGAGCTGCACAACCCTATATGCATTGGTGGTCGAATTTTTCAAGTGCTGGTTCCATCTATCCACCCCTATTCTGGGTTATAGAGTGCAGGAGAGGTCGTTTCTGGTCCAGCAGTGTGAACCACAACTTAGGGTACTGCAGCAAGCACCCTCACGGTGGTGGAAAACCAGGGCCCAGTCACAAATGCAACCTTTGCGTCCCAAGTAGTTCCACCACTGGGCTGCATCACACCCACACAATGCTGTGTAATGGATGAAGAAGTGGGCACTGACAAATGAGCAAAGGCAGAATGCTATATAATTTACAACTGACATACCTCATACTGTTTGAGGGACATGCTTCAGTTTGATAGATTATGATCAGAAAAGGACACCATAAAATTAATAAAAATATACTATCCCCTCCCTCCTAGATTGTAAGCTCAAAAAAGCAGGGCCCTTGACCCCCCTCGTGTTTTGTTTTGTTACTGTATTGTCTCATGTTCTGTCCCCCCACTATAATGTAGAGCGCTGAGCAAACCTTTTAGCGCTATAAAAATACTGTATAATAATAATAACTAGAAAAGCTACAATTTCTGGGGAAATTATGTGGTGTTCTTGCCTCCACCAGTAGTCTACAACTGGAGTGGGCGGAGTAACTGGGTGGAGTGGGCGGAGTAACTGGGTGGAGTGGCTTGAGTAACTGTTGTGTGGTTGGAGTAGCTGGAGTAACTGTGAAAAGGTCAATGGGCGGCGTGAGTTTGCAAACAAATGGTCATATTGTGAAAACTATCAATACTATGGCTTAGCTGTGGACATTTTCAGTGGCAGCAGGGATAGCTGAACGTTTTGATATAAGATTTGTGTAGGTGGGCTTGAAAATGAGGGAGTGATGGCAGTGATGGCTCAGTTTACAAATCATGTCCCTATGATTTTTTTCAGGCTCCAATCATGTCCTGATTTTTCAGCTCACACTCTAGCTTTTGTCAGCTCCCACTCTAGTTTTGAACATTCCGTCATTCATTCCTATGGGACCAATTTCACCACAAAAACGCCGATATTTCGTGAACCATTTGGCGAAACGTTCCACAAAGTAACAGCGCACCAATCGGGAACAATCCACACGTTTCGGTATATTACTGTCTATGTAGTGTAAAAACTGTGGGAGGAGTTAGGGTGGTAAATTTGGCTATAATAATAAGAATATATATGTGAGATAACAGGAAGGGGTCTGCCATGCAACAACACTTAATACTAGAAAAATCTACAATTTCTGGGGAAATTGTGTAAAGTGTTCTTGCCTGCAGCAGTAGTCTACAACTGGAGTGGGCGGAGTAACTGGGTGGAGTGGGCGGAGTACCTTTTGTCACTCAGCTGCCTGCTCACACACCTGAGTTCCTATGGCAACTCACGCTACAGCAAGAGCAGAGGAGCGGTTATAAACAAACTGCTCCAACTTGCTCACTTCGCTGGTGGTTGCCATCTTCTCAAAACGGTTTTAGTTTTAAAACTATAAATCCTGAAAAGCTTTATATTGTGAGAATCACAAGACCCAGACCTACATTTTGATGCATAGTATGTCTCTGAAATATTAACAATTAAGGCACAGTCGCAGTTTAGAAATTGCCCTTCAAATGTGAGGTGGCTAGAGTGGAGTTTCAATGAATGTCAATGGGCGGCGTGAGTTGCAAACAAATGGTCATATTGTGAAAACTATCAGGACTATGGCTTAGCCGTGGACATTTTTAGTGGCAGCAGAGATAGCTGAACGTTTTGATATAAGATTTGTGTAGGTGGGCTTGAAAATGAGGGAGTGATGGCAGTTTAGAAATCATGTCCTGATTTTTCAGCTCACACTCTAGATTTTGTCAGCTGCCACTCTAGTTGCGCCATTCATTCCTATGGGACAAATTTCGCCACAAAAACGGCGATATTTCTTGAACCATTCGGTGAAACGTTCCACAAAGTAATAGCGCACCAATCGGGAACAATCCGCACGTTTCCGTATATTACTGTCTATGTAGTGTAAAAACCTGTGGGAGGAGTTAGGGCGGTAAATGTGGCTATAATAAGAATATATTATGTTGAGACATACTTTTTCCTCCCTGCACTGTGAATGTTTACATGTTATGTGCAATTAAACCATGGCAACATCTAATTTTGTGTAGTATTATGTTCAGCAGACTGTGTTCTTCTATTGTTGTGACTTAGATGAGTTCAGAGCACATTTTATGCCCAATTCATGCAAAACTCCACGTAATCCCAAGGGGTTCACATACTTTTTCATGCAACTGTAAGCGGTCTTGCCATGCAAGAACACTTAATAATATATAAATGGGAAAATGTATTAGGAAAATGTGTTTCTCTGTGATGTACCATTAAAATATCAGAGGCTGAAAACTCAAAAGGGGCATTTACTGGTAAAAACAAAAAAAGGGGGGGGGGGGCAGATATTTTGATTTCAGACTTCTATAGTGTATACATAACTTGATATTTTGCACCTTTACTGGTGAAATGGAGTCCTGCTTTGACAACAGAGAGAAAACAGGTTTAGAAGATGCCAGCAGGAGGACAGTCCACTATTACCAATCCACTCAGGTCGAATGACTTTCACAGCGGTTGTAAAGCAGTAGACTTCGGTATTGCTAAAATAAGAGGGGATTAATAGGTTTATTTTGGAGCGGTTGACGGTGCCCTGAAAACACACGGTGCCCTTGATGTCCCAAGTGAACAGATTCTATGATCAGCACAGAAATTCTCATATGGTGAAGCAGCGTGAAGACTCCTCTTTAATCATGATAAATGACTTGGCGACAGCTGACAGCACTTAAGACACCGAGCATAATATTTTGGGTGTAAATATATGAATGGATTATAGAGGACACTATTAAAGCAGCAAGATCACTGAATGAAAACCATTTGTGGATCTCTATCAAACACTAAGTGGAATATGGAGGAACATTTTTACTCGCTGCAGTTGTCCACATCTATTTGCAATGGTTCCTAAAATTTGAAGCAAGTCCTTCTGCTTTTTAGATTTGTAATGAAGTAGAGATAAGTCCTTCTGGAATATGAGTTAGTCACGGAAGTAAAACCAATGTACATAGAAAAATGGGAAAAGGATTTGGGGATAGAGATAGATGAGGATAAACAGAGGAAAATATATAGACTCACACACGAAAATATCAGCATGAGAGAGGTGGAGGTAAATTATAAGAGTTTGGTAAGATGGCACATCGCACCAAATGTGGAACATAAAATGGGTGTAGAGAAAACACAAGAGTGCTGGCGTGGGTGTGGAAAGATTGGTACGTGGTTTCATATCTGGTGGGAGTACCCAAGGATTCAAATTTTTTGGGAGACAACGGTCAACTTAATAGAGAAAATCTCAGGGATAAAGATAGGATTAGATCCAGAAGTGTGCTTATTACATAAAACAGACTTACCAGTGAATAAATACAAAGACTCGGGTATATGGTACTATGTGAATGCAGCAAAGGGTTTGATATCTAAATTCTGGCATAGTTTAGAGGTTCCGAGAGAAAAGGATTGGGTAGAGAGAGTAAATCAGATTAGTAGGATGGAGAAATTGTACTATATCCAAGAAGATAAGATGGAGATATATAATAGGAGATGGGAGAAATGGGAAGATTTTGTACATCAAATGAATATATACGAAGCAATGAGAAATGATAAGAGAAGTTTCTTGATTTTATAGGGAAGGATGTAAGAGAAAAATGCAGAGTGGGAGGGTGGTGGGATGTGGTAGGGTGTGTAGGGGTAGAGGTAAGGGACATAAAAAGGGGGAAATAGAAGGAGATAGGATTAAGAATTGTATATATTATACGAGAATGTTGATGAAATGTATTGTTATGTTCTTCTTTCCTTTTCCTTTTTTTTATATGTATTTATAAATATGAAAAACGAATAAATATTTGAATTAAAAAAAAAAAAAAAGTCCTTCTGGAATAAAGACTTGCCTGTAAAATGTTTTGGAGGAATCCTATACTGAAAATGCTACTTCTCTGGCTTCTATACTTTCTGAGTCAGTGACCTTGAACATTTACTAATTGGGAGATTTGGTTTTTACTTGCTGCAAGCCTGTTCTGGTCCAGTAACTCAGAAAGTAATGAAGCTGTTGGATCAGCATGATAGTCAGAATATCATTCTCAGAAGAAATGCTCAGCAAGGGAAGATTGTTTTTATTTCATTGTGTACAGAAGTCCCTTTAAAGTGGAATTTCACCCAAAAGGGGAAGTTCTGCTTATCTACCTCCGCCACCCCTTCTCTTTAGGTTGTGGCACTTTATTACTTTTTTTGGGGGGGAGAAGCAGGTACCTGGTAATGACAGGTACCCGCTCCCACTTCCAGCTGATCGCCAAGGCCATCCAAGCCGAAGTGGGAAGACAGCTGTGAAGGAGCAAGCAGTCACAGCCAACCAGGGGCGGACTGACCATTTGGAAATTTGGGCAATGCCCGAGGGTCCGGGGTCAGTAGGGGGCCCCATGAGATGCCCCTGGTAACTTTTTCATAGGCTTTTTTGAGTTTGGGCAAGGACACAGGGGCCCCATGA